AGCTCCTGGGAGGCTGGAAAAAAATCCCCTGCAGAAGGTCGCACGGAGATCTCCTCCTCCCCGCGGCGTGCCCCGTGGCGTCCCCTCCGCCGTCCTTACGTTAAAGGTCCGGGCAGAGGCTGCGCTCCGCAGCGCCCAGCCGGCTGGCCTAAAAACGTTCCGAGACCGCGGTCCTCCTGACAAGCTCCGCTCTTTGTCGCTCGTTCCGTTTTACGTCTCTGTGTTTCTTCTTCCTCCCATCGTCTCTTCGGCTCCGGAGTGGTTACGTCCACACTAGCTGCGTCCCGCGTTAGCCGCCTCCTGCGGCTCCGTGTACGTGGAGCTCTCGGAGGGGCTCGTCCCAGACGTTTTAGCTTTGTTTCTCTGCGCGTTCCCGTTTGTGCGTGGAAGGGCTTCAGCCTGTTCCTGAATCCGGTTCCAGTCTAATGCACTGTTTCTATTGTTAGATTATCTAGAAGGAGGAATAGCAGTCTCAAACTGGTACCCGCCACGCGATATTCTCAACAACTCCGAAATAAAGAAAACCTGGAGCTAATCAGGGCTGAGGCCAAAGAAGTCTCTCCACCTCGGCGTGTGACAAGATCCCAGGCTGCAACATCTGCTGGAAGCTCCGAGGTCTGTCCCGAGACCCCTCCTGTCCAGCAAGTAGAAGGGAAGGTTGCCTTAGCAGAAGCTGATGTCAGTGATCACGTTAGCACTGAGATGCACCTCCAGAAGGGTGCATCTAAACCAGCAGAGCAGCTCTTCGCGACCATCCTCTGGAGCTCAGATGATGGTTCTCCCAAGGAAAGCAGGGTTGCCAAATTGCCGCCTGTGCCTGCAGCCTCTGAGCTGACGGTCCCTCACACCCCCGAGGCAGACGATGCAGGAGAAAGCGAGGCTGCGCCTAAGCTGAAGACAGGAAAGGCAGCTAATACTACAGTCATTTTAAGTGAAGAGCCTAGGCTGGAGGAGGTAGATGACTCTGCTCAGGTGCAAGAGGGGTCTGATAAGGAGCCTTCCCAGCGCATGAGGGATAGCCCAGGGACTCCGACAGGCTGTAGGCTGAGCCGTCGCTCAGTGCGCAGGAGTCTGATGGGTAAAACGTCCCTGACTCGCAGAACCTCCTTGGCAGAGAAATACTCACTAGCCAGCAAGAGGGAAAGTATGATCAGGAAATCTATCACCAGGACAACGGTCAAGAGGAAGGCAGCTCGAAAGTCATCTGTGTCCTCCAGTTGCATGGATGGTAAGTTTGAATGTCACCAGATGAGTTTGCTTGGCACCATTCCCTCTCTCTGTTGAAGTAAAACAACGTTATGGGGCTAGTTCTTCAGTTTGGGTGCAGCAGCTGATCTTCCTAGGCTAGACAAGCTGCAGTCAAGCATGGATGTTCTCCTTTGACTTAAAATTATTTTTTTCCTCACTACTCTTACTTGAGTACTTTTCCTCACTACTCTTACTTTCCTCACTACTACTTAACTTGAGTGGTTAAACATTGGAACAGGCTGCCCAGGGAAGTGGTTGAGTCACCATCCCTGGAAGTATTTAAAAGACGGGTAGATGAGGCGCTTAGGGACATGGTTTAGTGGGCATGGTGTTGTTGGGTTGACGGTTGGACTCGATGATCTTAGAGGTCTCTTCCAACCTTAATGATTCTATGATTCTATGATTCTAACTGGCTTTCTAGAGACCTACGTGAATAGAGAAACCCAGGTGACCGTGCTAGTTTGTGGCCTATGAATTCAGCCTTGTAAATCAACTGGGAGAACAGCCTTAATGTCTTCTGAGTTTCTGTGGTGGTAGCTTGCAAAGTTAAAGAGGAAGCTGGCAAACGGGGTTTGTGGCTGCTGGCGGCTGTGGGCTCTCACAAAGGCCTGCATGTTTTCTGGGAAGTGAGGTAGCTATCACAAATTCACCGCTCTTTAAACAGAATCTGGCTGCTGGTTCTAGAGCTCCTCTTTTGAGAAGGGAATTTTGAGGCTGAACTTTGTAAATTTGTTAAAAGTCTTCCAAACTTTTACAGTTTGCGATAGAGGCAGGTTTCAGTGAGGGACAAACAGATTTAGATGTTCTTCCGTGCTACTGGAACGCAAGCGTTGGATTTAGTGCAGGAGAACAAAGTGATGGATATAACCTCTCTTCTTTTTCAAGCTGAGGGAAAGAAGCGGCTAGTAAGCAGTGGACTAGTAAATGGCTCCTGAAATGCAGGTGATGCAAGAGAACCTCTTCCATGCAATTTGACGTTGAGGAGAGCCTGGCTCTTTTGCACAGCGTGCTGCTTTGTTTGAAGGGAGAACTAATACAGAGGAAATAACATTACCGTAATGCGTTCATCTGCAGCGTTCTAGCTGTGTGGGATTGGTGCTGTGTAACACTGACTTTTCTTGAAGAGTTATCCCGTTTTGGCTGTAGGATATATTTGGAGAAGCACTTTAATGTTTTTTTCCCATACCAATTTAACTGTTGAATGTTTTTCTAGAACCAGAGCACTGCAGTCCCCAGTACAGGGTTTCCTGTGCTGGTAACGGGGTAGTGCAGAGTTCTGTGTAAGTTCAGAAGCGCGGTGTTGAGGGCTCCCTCAGTAAAAAATGGAACCGTAGGGAAGTCTTCTCATTTGTGCTTTTGAAAAGGCACTGAAGTGGCTTTATCTGCCCAGTTTAAATGATCAGTCTGTGTTGTCCGATCTGGATTACCTGGGAGGTTTAAAGGAGGCTTTGTTTCTTCCCTCTGCACTACTTGACACAATTTCCAGGTCAAAATTTCCAGGTATAAGGGGGAGGAACTGAGATGTTTCAGGCAGCTCCTGTTGAGCTCGTTAATGCTTGAAAGCCCAAAGCACCTTAATCGACTGCAGAGTGCGTGTGCTGTGTCTGATGCATCAGGTCTTGCACGGGGTATGTGTACAGCACGTGTGTTTGTGCTTCCTTCGATAACATCTGCAATGGAAGTACGGGAGCAGACCGCACGCTCTGACTGTGCAAAGTCTGCCCCTGTGTACTCCACTCAGGCTGAAGCTGCATCGCCTTCTTAATTATTAACAGCAGTTTCCGGCTGTGCTGGTACTTAAAAGCTAGCTACCGTTGAGCCAGCTGGAACGCTTCGCAGGATGCAGCGCTCTGACTGTAAATAATGCTGGTTTTAACTACTGCTGATATCTGGACGTGGCCCTGCAAAATGAGTCTAAGCCCAGACCTAGTCACTCGTAATGTAAGCCCGTTGAAAATCACTTTGAACTCATCTATAATTGAAAACATCTGTTTTCTTATATTAAAATTGCAGGCGGTGTTTTCTCTGGTGCTACTTAGGTACATTCAGCTGCCCTGACTTGTAGCAGCACGCGTTGGAATTGCGGGCAGTAACCCAGGAGGCAGAGCAAATGCCTCTGC